AGTTTTAATTGAGCTCTCATTGGTAGAGAAAAACCCCTGCAGATGGCCGAGTGACTTGACCACAATGGCGAAGTCACTCATCCATCTGGCAACGAATTTTACTGTTTCACACCGCCCAAGGGACAGTAATTATTAACTGGGCCAACAGTGATCAGTGTTCTCAACCGTCCCGGGAATCCCGGGAAGGGTGGGTAGGGACGGCAGGGCATGGCGTCCGTCTTTGATAATGATCGCCGTCCTAGGGGTTGACGCAGGGGCCCGGGAGTCTTAATAAAAATGGCATCTTCCGGCCATCCTCACCAGGGCCCGGTCGTCGTCTGCAGGGTCCACCCCTTGGTTACTATGTAAACTGGAGGATTGGATGGACCATTTCAGACTTCGGGCAACCTTAAACAACGCCCGGTCTTAGCGAAAAACCGTATAACTCGAGATAATACGGTAGTGAGGGTGGTGGTGAACGTGGCGAGGGTGGGGGCGGTGGGGGTTGGAAAGTCGCCATAGCAGGTCAGAGAGACCTGCCGAGAGCCGAAACGGGCGTTGGCCGCCCACCCAATTGCGGCACCACCAAAGCCCGCAATTATCGTCACCAGTGGTGACGGATAATGTTTAAGGAAGACTAGCATAACAGAAATTCCCATGTTAGCCAGTACCTCGGATGTGATAGGTAAAGGTCTTGAACAAACCAAGCCAACAAGTCATGTTTTAAGCAGGGAGTGGGAATGTTGGGTAGTGGGTGTTGGTGGTAAAAAGATGGTAAGAATGGATGAAGGCTGAAAGGAAATTCTGCAAACCCTCACTCTTCAAGTACGCTCCCACTCTACACAGTCTCACACACGGCCTGATGCGTCCCCGAGTTGGAGGGGCAACGGGAGAAGTGTACCCCTTACCTGTCGGACAATAGAGTGCTGTATTGCCCTCTTGACAACCCAATTCACGGTTGGGGCCTGAAGAGGTGACAATGACGACCCCAACGTAAACCATAATAGCGGGCCAGAGAGGAGCGGAGGTGAGCAATCACAGCGTAAAGGGAACTGAGAGTGAAGTGAGAGGAGTCGCTCATGACTTCCACAAGAAGCACGGAAGGAAAAACTAGAAAATACAAAGAGAGAGAAGGTAGCCATCACAGAGAGGGTTGACCTTCTCAGCAACAGGCAAAAAGCAACAAAACAAAACAGTCACCCAACCAAGCAAAAAGGCTCACACTCTCTGCTCTGGCATCCACATATCCGCTGCTTCCCCACATATCTCTCTATCTGCATAACACCTCCTCCACATCCTGCTGTTGGGATTATGCCACCAAACCAGAAGCCCATAATATTAGGTGCAAGCCATATAATCATGCTCAGAAAGAACTAACTTAGCCCGAACTAGACCTATTTTCAACCTACCCTATTCTTACATCACACCGACAGAATGATACCAAGGTATACCAGTCTTTGGTAGTATAGCGGCCTAATATAAATTTACCCCACGCAGCACGCGAAACCAAGATACAGATGACCGGTGTAACGAGAATCCAAAGTACAATACTCCACAGGCGGGACAAGAGGAGGCATGAACCATGAGATGGCAGAGTGGGAACACGGACCCACCTGGTGTCCATCGCCCAGGAACGCCAGGGAGGGCCCGATCCAGTAGGGAGTGAACCATGTCTTTAGCCGCCGGAAATGTCTGTTAATGGTTGAAGGTGTATCAGGGAGATGGAACTGGCTAGGCCAAAGTAATGGTTAATATATATTCTTGATCCCTCTCCGCTAGCCAAGTTACTATCATAAGCTCAAGCATGCCCATCCCCGAGAAAGTCCCAAGAAATGAAGTTCCTTACCGGAATACTCTTTGCCCTTCAGATGGCGTCCGCCCATCCGCCCACCCAGGCAGGACATTAAGGATGAGGCCATAGCACCTACCCAATCCCTCAACCCCAGCACCGCCCTCAGTGAAGGTATTGCAGCACTCTTCCGACAACAGCCCAAGCCTATCGGAGGAAAAAACATGGACCTCGCCTGCCAAATAACCCGTCTAATCCTCAGTTCCTCGTACTCAGGCCCCACTACCGACAGCAAAACCCACACCACTCTCGCCCACATCAACTGATCGCAATCATGCCGCCTCCACCCCCCCTACATCGCCACCCAAGATCTGCACTGGAAGCCTCTGCCACGATCAAGATAATTTCATTCCTGGACGCCCCGTTCCCCGTGAGCAGCGGCGGACATTCTGAAATCCTGGTTGGGCGAATACCGATACCGGGATTCTTATTTCTTTGAACGAATTGACTGATGTATCGCTCAGTGCTGATAAGACCGTTGCAAGTATTGGTCCTGGGAACCGGTGGAGTGCTGTATGCGAAGAGCAGGAACCGCATGGAGTTGGTGTTCTTGGGGAAAGGGCTCGCGACATTGGCGTTGCGGGATTGATCCTTGGTGGTAAGGGTCCTTCATACCCCCGATAAAGCTAAGCCATTAGCTAAATACAAGTTAGGTTGGATATCTTACTTCACAAACGGCTACGGCTTCGCCTATGGTAACGTCAAAAGCGTCCAAGTCGTCCTCTCCACCCGTGATATCGTAGATACGAATCCGGATGAAAACCCAGACCTGTTCTAGAGCCTCAAAGGCGGGTCTGCCAATTTCGGCATTGTCACAAGATTCTACCTAGCGACGTTCCCGGAACTTGCTAGCTTCCGCTACGAAGTCCTCCGCTACTCGGCCATACGGAATGAGAAACTTCTGGAAGGGCAGGAGGAGTACCAGCGAGTTGGAGAGCTTGATGCGAAGTCTGGGGCTACGCAATTGACCAACGCAGACATTTCATTGATAGCCCTGATTTATACCGGGGGGCACACTGACGAACAGCTAGCAGCAATGTTCCCAACCGTCCCGGGCGTCCCGGGCAGGGTGGGTAAGGACGGCAGGGCATGGCGTCAGTCTTTGATAAAGACCACCGTCCGAGGGGTTGACGTCCGGGCCCGGGAGTCTTAATACAAATGGCATCTTCCGGCGGTCTAGGGTAGTGGTTAGGAAGGACTGCAGGACGGGCGTCCGTCCGGGGCAGAGTTCTAAAAACCGTTGTCCGTCCCATCCGAAGCTAAGGACGGATGGACTGGACGCTTGGGAACACTGGCCAGCAGCATTCAAGCCATTCTATGAAGTTCCCGGAGTCTCCTCACTCGTGGGGTCAATGGTTGACTGATTGGCAGGGCTGACACAGGACTTCACACCGCTCTTCTCTGGGCCCGCCAAAAGGTATGTTTATTCCCCCAGCACACGAGGGACACACTAAGCTCACTAGGGAATAGGCACACTTTCGGTGTTGTAGCCACCGGTGTCGACGTAACCCTCTAGAAATCCCTCTGCACCCACTACAACACATCCAAGCAGAAGTCGCCCAGCGTGCAAACAGAACCCTCTCCTTGGACATGCAGTTAATTTCCAGATCTGCCATCGAGTACAGCTCCTTCAACGGCAGGAATGCGATGGGATTCTCAAATGAGCCGCAGCAATGCATCCCCCCCCTCCCCCCCTCCTCTTCTCTTACTAATTCACTGCTGAAGGGCTCCTCTACTTCTTCGACTGGACAAACCTAGCTGACGACGCACACATCCTTGATACAGAAAAGCGACTGAAAAAGGAGTGGAAGGAATTAGCGGTGGTTAAAGGGCTTTATTTGCCCAGTCAGTATCTGAACGACGCTTCTCATGAGCAGGACCCGTTCTCTTCTTATGGCAGGGATTGCTACGCCAAGTTGAAAGCCACAAGTCGGAGGCACGATGCTGACAGGTCTCCCAGAGGCTATCCAATGGGGTTTTTTTATTGAGGATTACAGAGGAGAAATTTTTGTAGTGGGTGTCTACCCTTGGAAGGGGGTGGGTGTGATGGTCATGGAATGTCACTCGGACTTAGTTTATTTGAAAGTGTTGTCAGTATGACATAGGACACGGTGCTATTACTTCCTGATAGAAAAGGAAGAGTTGTGGGACGAACAGCACAGACTGAAAGAAGAAGGATATACCGAAATGAGGGATATGAGATGAATATAGTGGATCGGGCCGAATGAGTTGATTTGGGGTGAAAGACTGTTTTATGAGATTCGAAGTACTTGTATATAAAGGCAGACAACTACCTGGTATCTAGGGGCATGCGCGTGATGAACCAGATTATCTCTTTACTTTTCAAGAACCTCTATTTCTCACTTTTCCAACAGAAAGATACTGACGATGTCAACCGTCCAGCTTATCAGAAGTAACCAAACCGCACAGAACCTGTCAGCCACACACACACTTCACTCACCAAACTACCATAGTTCCCAAGAGTTTTGCGGGTTTTTATGCGACCTACGGAACGAAGAACGCATCATGGAAATTTGCCCTAACATCCATCAGTCTCCCAACTCAAAAAACTCCCCAACGATCATACCACTAGACAGTCCACCAAACATCCCCGTGGGAAATCTACAGGTGTTTCAGCCCTCCACTGCGCCCACCAAATATCTCCTTTAGCGAACGAGCAAGGTCTAATAGGCAAGTCAAATGAAAAGGCCTAGGCAAAAAGAGGTGGAATAATAGTAATAATAAGTAATAACCACCACCTAAAAGTAGCAGTCGGGACCATCACCAAAAACAGCAGCAGAATTCAGAGAGAAATTTTTCCTTACTGAAGTAGGCGCAGGATGGGATGTAGAGGTGCATCAGTGCACTGTTCGATTAGGTGCCTAGGAGAACTAGGCGGTATTGAGTCGGAGTGGAATGGTGATAATAGGCGCTCTATACAAGAGAACCTGTGATAGTAATTCGTATAGTATACAAACCTCTATCTGGGATGATGTAAGTGAACAATACTCACGAGAAAGATGATGGGGAGGAGGAGGGTGTTATGGTGACAAAGGACAGGCAAAGGTGTTGTCGGCAGTGATTTTTGGGACTCCTAATCGAGATCGGTAAGCCCTAAGCCTAATCGCAATATTCAATTAAACTGCATCCTCCATGCGGCCATCTTCTTGAGCAATCATAGATGATCACTCGCTAGCCACGAGGTAGGTCAGATATATTAATGGAAATCAGGGTCGCTGTCACGAACCTGAATAGAGGAGCTCTAGTTAGCCCTGGGGGGGCGAGAATTAGGTTTCACATGACCCGCAGTCGTGAGTCCCCTCAACAACGCCTTTCATCGTCATGGTTGTCCCACACCCGGTGAGCCCTTTAGCATCGGCTCGATCTCTGGGGCGCGTTACTCTGCGGCCTCGCTTGCTAATGCCTCCTTTAATGGTGCCTCTTATCGGGCTGCAGCCGCCGCTGCTGCTTTAGCGAGGATACGGCGGTGTAGGGTTGACGTGTATAGGGGCGGGGGGGGGAGGAGGGAGTGACAAATTTAGCACAAGGCGCAGAGACAGACTTGCGAAGCCCCCGGACGATGGCTTGGCTTCTGCAGCGTAGGGCCCCTCGAATAGTGACAGTATAGGGATATACGGCTATTCTGGCGAGGGGGACTGCGGACTCACGGAAGGAACCCTTTTTACCTGCCACTTCTTGCACTTCCTCCCTACAGTCCTCGCTGAATGTGCCTGGCGCTGCGCTGGGGGTTCGAGTCCTCTCCACCCCTGCGTAGATGCGGCTATGGTTTTGCTTCGAATTCCTCGAGTAGGCCGGTGTGGACCTGTTTTCCGGCCCCGTTCCCGATGAGGTCGGTGCGTATATCTCCAGTGCCGCATTCGACCAACTTGAGGCCACTGTTGTCAATATTTCTCCGTAATGGGATACATATACACCCGTCGTAGATCCTCAACGCTGGTGTTTCTCCGGGGAAGGCGTTCCACGTGGGTCTTATAGCGGAGGATGAAGGGTATGTCCCACTATTATGATGGGCCTTGTGCAAAAGCAGGGCCGTTAATAACGAGCCATGGAGGGTCCGTAATAGGGCTATCAGGGGTGGGGGAGTGGGTGGCTGAGGAGGATAGTAAACAACGGGTAGCAGCCGTACGTGCAGCGGTCATTGTGCAGGGGTTGTTGGAACATAACAATAGTGATGATCGGGTTGCGGCCGACCTGTTTGAGGCGAGGTATAGGATTGAGGTGTTCGGATACTCTTGATATTCAAATGTGGTAGTTGGCCTCGCGGCCGGCGACGCGGTAAAACAATCTAGGGCGGTTTCTATTTGGTTGCGGGAGTGGGTGCAGAAGCAGAACCAACCCTTCTACGAAACCTTTCCTGCGAAACGCTGCACTGTTCCATGAGCTGCCCGAGAGACATCAGTGTCTTTGCCTCTGGGAGGCATAGTGATAGTGGGCGCTCTGCACGAGGGGACGGGTGAGACCAATTCGTGTAGTATACAGATTATGGAAGTGATGTGAAGGTGGTGGTGATGATGGGAAAGGTAAAGGGAAGGTGTTGACAACCATTGCTAGGGTGCCCATTCCCCATCAGTAGGCATAAGGCTAATCGAGACATCGGAGTACCGATACCGGTGGTGCTGCTCATAACCCAAGTAACGTCAGTAAGCGTGTCTTCGCACACTATCGGTACAATATTAAGAGCTAAAAAAGAAATATTAAAAAGTAGTAAAATAAAATACAATAATATGTGAGTATAGCAGAGAGGAATGAGCACAAGAACCACCAATTTCGGAATCCATTAGCTAGAAGAATTGGTGGTTTATTGCCTCTATTTCCCGGTGCATATGGTAAATTGTTCGTTGAGCTGTTGTTTTTCATTGGGTCGTGGGGCGCTACATTGGGAGTGCTGTTAACTTCGACGGTTGCTTAGGGTCCTTCAAAATGGCGGGAACCCCGGCACAGTGATACAGGGACTGGATGTTCTAAGATTTGGTACATGTTGGCCTGTAGATGATTAGATTAGTTCTGTACATTGCAAGTGTACCCTTTTACATAGCTACTCCGTGGCTCAGAGATTTACTCCGTTAAGCAGTGACATGTCTTCTACCACAACACCCGAAGCACAAAGATCAGAACCACAAGAATCATGGCATCCAAGATTTTTCGCCTACAGATATTCCGCAAATAATTGGTCCCTATGCAAGAGTTCAGACACTACCCCCGCCAGCCAACCTACGCCAACCGGAGGTTTAACAGTTACAAAAAGGTCAATGGGCTGGGGCCCGAGATGAACAGCAAGGAGGACAAACCGTCCGGGATGAAGATAGTAGGCTATCTTTTTTATTACTACTACTCTAAGGGTCCGTTTAGCTACAGACGGCCATCTAGTGCACGTTGACGGTGCCCACCGTCAAGGGGGTCTTAACGGTCGGTAGCGCCAGGAGCTGAATTCTCACTCTGTATTCACCTAATGCGCAGTCAAGTGCCCCATCTACCACGCCATCCCGCAATGAATCAAAAATGACACATGATACGATTTGAGAGCTTTGAATTCCGAATTCCCAACCTCCTCTCCCTTGATAGCATGATCCCAACAGCGAGATATAGGGGAGCAGGTGCAATGAGGTAGAGAGATGTACGGAGATGTATGTATGTGGATGAGAGGGCAGAGAGTATGAGCCCCTGCCTGGCGGCATGATGTTTTTGTTTGTTTTTAGGATGAACAGCCCTCTGTGTGAATGGCTGTCATCCTTGCACCTTTGTATTTAGTCTTCTTTCGGTGCTTCTGGAAGAAGACACGAACGACTCCTCTCACTCTACCTTTGGTTCCGTCCACATCGTGATTTCTCACCGCCACTGCGCACAGCCTCGCCATCATCC